CATACATCGCCCAAGTTTAAACGCTTAGGATGGAATTGAACACACCGTTGGAAGTTTGGAGGCTCCTTGTATATTACTTTATTCATCGTAATTATTACTTTTACTCATGGAGACTGATGACCAGTCGCAGTAAGCCCTTCCTCTGTCGCCTTTTAATATACAAGCAATCAATCCTAGCTAACACTTCACACCCATGATGTACACGTATCTTGTGGCTCATATTGGTACACATATATCATGTTTCCTCGAACAGAAACTCACCAAATTCTTGAAATATCTGGAATTATGGAGTATCGCACCTATATCTTTAATGCTCCAAGCAGGTATGCCCACTAACGCCGAACATCCCATATATACAGCCTAGCCCATGTTTTATACAACAACACCTCTAACCAAGTGATGGAGGCTGGTGACACCAGCAAAAGCATTATTCAAGCCCTATGTCCATCACGATAGCCACCCAATCCTCCTCCCATCCGAGTGGAAGTCACATGTTCCCTTTGATCGCATATTCTGCTGCCAGCGGCCAGGCCAGGAAGCCAAACATCCAAGGGAAATAGCTACGCTCGTTAGCGTACTACATGAAGATGGGGAATGGTGGGGAAGGGTAGAGAGGAATGACATACAAGACCGCAGCACCTGTTGCATGTCGACGTACACGGCTCCAGTCTGCCGGGGCGTGGTCCTTGACCATGGAGTTCCGCTCGAAGATCTGAGCCTTTGCGGAATCGAGGGCGCTTCGGAAAGAGGTGCCCATGGAAAAGGCGCGTCTTTGTGCTGCTGGCGAGCGGACGAGGATGGCTGAGCGCCGGAGGATTGTTGAGTTCATTGTTCTTATTATTTTCGTGTTGATCGAGGAGAGATGTTTCTTAATCTACAGAGCGGAGAGGGGACGTAGAGTGGAGTTTTGCCTTCTTTGGAGTGAAGTGGTGTTTTCTTTTTATGTGCTTGTTGATGGTGATACAAAAGGAGTGGTAAGAGAGACGAAGCGAAGGAGATATATAACAGTACCTACGGGATATGGATCATACGATTCTTACCATATTGCTGTGCGACGATTACCAGCCAAAAGGATCCCGCCAGGGCCATGGTAGCGAAGTAACTGCGTATAAGCAAGAAAACATGCGATGTTATACACTCATCGGACCACCAGCACGTGAGGATCCACTGCTCAGGAGACTTCTCTTATTTGCTCGACCAATCAGTAGATGCTTATCCACGATGACCATGTTGTAGCTATAGTGCGGAAGGAAACGGGGAATATTATGAGGAGAGAATGATACGGAACCAATGTTGGGTGGAGGAGAGAGCGGAAGTAAAAGCCTGTGGCGATGAAAATGTTGCTGAGGAAGATGGGTGATCTGGATGACAGTCTTGGCTGAGCTCGGCGAGTCCCGATAGATATTTTTGGGAGGGAAATGGAACCCCATGGCAGTTAATACGTCATTCAGATTTAATTTTGATGAATTAGGGCTTTAAAATCTATCTTCTTAAGATTCTTCTTCGGATGCTGCAACGGTAGGAGGATTGCGATGGTGGCAATTTGCTGGGCTCCCGTGCTTGTGTTTCTCGCTTAAGCTCAGGGGTATGCCCTCGGATCGTTCGACCTCAAGCACAACAGAATGTTACAAAAATTCAATCATAGCAGTGCTCCTAACTCCGACTCCTTGTCAGATATGAGTTCCGTCGCCACGCTGGCTGACAAGCCCTGCATCATCGAAGCCAAGCATTTTTGGTGTCCTACCTCACTTTGTGATATGATTAGAAATAGCCTGTCGTAATATAAAAGACATCCTGGCGCGGCCGCCGCGATAGTCTCAATATTTCCACCGGTGAGGTCAGACGGAGAAGAAAATACCATCGAAGTACACCTAAAAGACATCTTTGACGATGGCCACGAAGGTCTTCACAACACAAGATCAATGCCTACCAAGATTGTGTTGTGCACAGAAGCTGCCCATCACCCACCAGCAGGATTGGGTTGCTAAAAATTGTGAAACGGTGAGGTAATCCACAACAAGGCTGGAATATTGGGTGGGCAGGGCAATAAGTGGAAGATGGCTGGCTACAGGGAAGACCAGTACTCTGGGGAAGAGTCTAAAGCACAAACTGCGTGATATTCACTTGAGCCTAGGGGTCCTGAGAAGCAGCATAATCAAAGATCATGTGTCTGCTGTTAATCTGTGCTTAAGACAAGCGGTTTTGTACACCCAGGCTCTCAGGTCGTTTTCTGTTGTGGAATGGCATTTATCCTAGTCAACATGATGTTACAATGCTAGTATCAATGTAAGAGCATAGGGGAACTTTTCTGCTTTTGAGAGCCGAGCTGCTTCTTGCGGATCAAGGACGCATTGGAAGGATATTGTATCGTGATAGTGCAATGACACACAATATGAAGAGGCTCTGAATAAGCACGTCCAACCTTATATGCTACTTCCTAAAGCTCTAAGAGAACATGCAATACGTATCCAGGCCGTGCCGAAAGAAAGTCAAAGCGTCAGAAGCTTTGCGAGATATTATGTATATATTAGGGAACTTCAGCAACATATTTCTGCGAACTCCGTTTCATATCATGACTAGGTTAGGTTATGCTTTAAAAAGGGGACTGCATTACGAGTTGGCTTGGGAAACCTTGGTCTTCCTATTAAAAAACTATGGGCTCCGGATTAAGTAACCAATAACCTGAATCTCGATGCTATTGTACCCTGGTATTGAAAAGTGACAAAGTGTGGGGCTTTTAAGTGCAGCTGGATGCGTCACCTTTACTATGAGTACTTATGGCAGTGGTGAAATGCCGACCCTTCCGATAGGTGGAGTGAACTTAACCAACCGCCAGAATCCGAATCCTTCACTGTCCTGTGGCCTTACCTTGAGTGGATGGTTGATATACCGCTTCAAGCGCTATTCTCTTATTAAGTGCACCATCTTACTCAGATTGCCACCATTTCTTCATGTGGAGTATATCTCATAAACCATGTCCCAAATAAGTACCCATTGATTGTAAGTCACTTCCGAGATTACCAACTTTCATCATGATTGCCAAAGAAGGTTCCATTCATGCACAGCCCTCTGTGTTCCATAGCCATACTAATTGCGATTGCGACTCTAATATGGCAATAGGAAGGCTTCGTTGAGAGTATGAACTCTATCTGAGTTTCAGACGTTTGACGACTCATTTGACTCTGGCATCTCTTTTCTCAGCGATATCTTCACTTACATAGTACTCAGAGCAAGAACTAGCAGCCCGGCAAACGTGTCGCTCTCGCCTTCGCATCTTATTAATGATGTCCACAAGCATTTCATGTGGATAATCATCAGCTTCTTCGTCTGAGATCTCTTCATGGCTTCCGCGGGAGCAAATATCAACGAAGTATGAGCGGAGAGGACTATCTTTCGCAGTACACTCATATAGACGATGAAAAATTGTAGGATCTTGCTTGATCCGCCGTGGTGGTGCTGGCCTTTCGGTTGATGTAATGCTAGCCATGGACATCCTGCCCGCAGTAGACATTCCAGGGTGTGGTCTCGCTTCCTCCGAGGCCCTCCGTGATAGATCTAGAGCGCGGATAATCTGGTTCTGAAGCCTTGGTACAAGAATCTTGTCTGCAAGAATCCACAAATTGACCAATGTAGGTTGGTCTGGCAAAGATCCCTTACCATCCACAATGTCCTGCGTATACAGCCACTGAACGAAGCTGCCAAATACTGCTGGTTCTGTATCATCAAGCTCGAGTTTTTGTGACTCGCCCTCCGCAAAGTTGCCGTTGAATGCTGCGCTGAAAAACGGAGAGTAATGGGTGATAAAATTCTTGTGCACCTGGAAGCTTTCTGCTTCCTCTTTCAATTCCATGTATACGCTGACAGTAACCATAGGTTGAGGGCCGCTGCAAGGATGTTAGCTTGGGATCTCTTTCATAGAGACACTACTCGCATCAATGTCGGTCGCTTCTTCTTCTCAAGTGCAACTATGGCAGTTGGAGGATTTGGCCGCTGTAGAAGGTTCGGGTTCGGCGCAGGGCTCGGTCTTTTAGTCCTTGCCGGCGGTGGCTTTAGATTATCCTGTAGAGTTCTTCTTGGTGTTAATATACTGCTTGTGAAGTTTGTGCGGGCAGGAAACGAAAAGCCCATGTGAAAGTTATCCTCATCCGAATCGGACGCAGGCAGAGGCACATTGAACATCGATCTGCCAACATGTCTAGACATTTCAGGTGTGCAGGCTAGACAGTGCTATGTAGTTACTGTAGGCAGTGATGTCCCGGATCGTCAGTCTGTCATCAAGGAAGAGGCAGCCTGTTGCAACAAAGCCAGCACATAAAAGCAAATCTTACCAAAACGCCAAGAATTTGCCAAGATACGCCGGATGATTTATTCGAATTGCCTATTGAAAGACTTGAGGGAATTTTCGTCCTCCATGGCATTGAGATTAGAAAGGAAATTGATCAAGCTAATTGGGTATTTCCATTTAAAATGAGAGGTTTATTATCCCGAAAAACAAGTGGCATAGTTTAGAGATCTTGATCTTTATTGTTGCAGCACAGTACTACGTATGAGATTGTTACTATCTTAGAACATATTAGTCTTAGTCCCTTTTGAAGTGCCCTCTCCTCAAAAGAGCCACATTCAAAACCAGCCTTTGTCCGTTCAAAGTTCTTATCGAAATTCCGCAATTCTGCATCGTCATTTCTCCCAGAGTATAAGTTAATCCGCCAGCGCTTGCTTATTATACAAAAGGAGAATGTACTGTTGAGCGATTGAAAAGATTGAAAAGATTGAATTTAGTAATATTATGAATAATTTGAACTTGAGTAAAAGGTAAACGTTGAGACGCATCTCCTTAGCCGTGAGTGTATTAGAGGCAGATATAATGATGGCGCCTTTCCATAAATCATTTCTTCCACGTGCATTTTCTTGGCTCCTCCTTTCTCGCTTACGACTACTTTGCAGCTGTGTACAAAAATACATCTTAACTCTCCAAAGTAGCAAAAAACCCAAAAAATGAACTCCCCCGGATAGGATCGAACTATCAACCTCCAGATTGCTTATCTCTTAACAGTCTGACGCGCTAACCAGTTGTGCCACAGGGGATTCTCTGAACAGGTGGACCACATTGGGACTTCCTTGTTGTTGAACGCCATGCTTAAAAAAAGTATATACAGTTAGCGAAAACGCCTTGACCAGATTTTTTCGCCAATGAGATTTATCTTGGCATCATACCAAACAAACAATGCGAATTCTAGTAGCTTGCGGGTCACGGATTGGCCGAAGCTAGAACTATTGTGTTGAAATAGAATGGTTGGTATTTCCAAATGTTTTGGGCTAAATTACAATTATATGGCAATTTGAATGCAAATATCTCCATCGATACTAAGACATTCTACTTCTTTGGTAGAAATTCTTGAGTGAAGTTAACGGACGGAAAGCACATAGGATCGTAGGCTTGTTTGGCTTCTGGTAAATCTGCTCTCATGAATCGGGGGTACTTATGGCTGCTTTCACAAAGTGACCACTATCATCATGGTAAAAATAGATTTATTGAGCACATCTTCGAGAATCCTGAAACACTTAAATCAACATCAAAATTTAATGGACGTTAAAGCCTACACGATACGTCTACTGGGGAAACAGACATTGAGCCGCTTTGGTTACAACGCTACAATCTCGACATTTTTAATCCTCACACTCATTCTACGTATTGCTGCGCCCATCCTCACTTTCGACTCACCATTGATTTCACAAATTTTTTGAAATGGAATCGGATGTTGGAGTAGAGGGCCTTGGCATATATCACGTGCCAACGCTGAAGGAATGACGCGAAAGCTTTCGGGAAGCAAGCAATTGTTAAAAGCGTCAATGCTTTGAATCTTCTTACTTTCTCCATTTCATCGTGAGGCACAGCTAAAGCATTCGCACGATGTCTAATCCAAATTCTCGGGAGGCTACTCCCTCGAACACCCCGACAGTTTCCTCTCTCCCTCAGAAGCGCGCTCTCGAAGACGACCACCAACCTGCCGTGTCTTCCCCTCTTAACCCTGACTTCAAAACCGCGAAGGCTGAGGATTCTCTTTCTGGGCGTGCCCCAAGAGCCAAAAAAGAATCCTTTAAGAAGCGTGAATCGAAAGGGGCATCTCTTGCGCCTGAGAGCTCCAGCGCAAGAGCTACCCCAGATCCCAAATCAGCCCCGCGTAAGAATAACAAGAAAAGAAAGGACGACCCAGCGCCCATCAGATATCAGTTACCTCCTCCACGAACCTCGGATTTCGATCCTCCTCGCGGCCCACTTTTCAGCCATTTTCAAACCAAAACGCTTGCGGACGGTACCGAAGTTCAATTCAATGAGACCTCTGATCAGTGAGTCCTCTGGCGCCTGCTTTGACAATACCTAACCTACATAGTGTTTATAATAAGAAGGGATTCCACTATACCCATTGTATAGCAGACCCAAACTTCCCATCGACTATATACTATCGCCAATCCGAAACAGAACCATTTGAAGCCCGTCTCAACTTCGAAGATACGTCGACGCATATGTACTTAGATGAAGGAGGCCATCATGTTACTACAGATAAAGGATGGAGAATGGCAAAGGCGAATGTTGGTGTGAGGGAAGGTCGCTGGTACTGGGAATGCAAAATTACAAGCGGAATTCCAAGGCGGAAATCAACCGATGGAGAGAGCACGGGAGGCCATGTACGCTTAGGATGGGCTCGAAGAGAAGCTACGTTGGATGCTCCAGTAGGATTTGATGCCTACAGTTACGGACTTCGCGATGTGGCAGGACAAAAGGTATTCATGTCGCGGCCGAAAGATTTCTTTATAAAAGGAGATGATATAAGGGAAGGGGATGTTATTGGGCTTGAGATCAACCTTCCATCCGAAACTCTTCATAGGAAGGTTGTTGAAGGTCACTATAATAAAGCGGTGGACTTTAAAGATGAGGGAAATGATATCCTAGAAGCGGCGACAATAATTCGGGATAGAGTTCCTATACGCTTCAAGGCACATCTGTACTTCGAACAGATCGACTATCAAGCCACCAAAGAACTTGAAGAACTTATGAACCCATCTCCAGTTATATCCTCTAGTGGCGGCGTAGGCGCATCAAATGAGCGACCCGATCCCTCCCATCCATATCCATCCCTGCGAACTTTACCACACTCCAATGTCAAAATATATAAGAATGGCGTTGAAATGGGTACTGCTTTCGAGGATCTTCTAGCCTTCTTACCACCGGCTTCGAAGCCGACCACCCAGGTTGGTGCTAGGGAGGGTCTAGATGATGGTATGCTTGGTTACTATCCTGCAATTTCAGTATTCCGTGGAGGTGCTGCGCAGGTAAACCTTGGCCCCAAATTTTGGTTTCCACCTGAAGACCTTGAGACGGATGGTGCAGATAGGATGGACATTGAACAAACACAAACATCCAAGTTACGCAGGCTTCGTCCGCTCAGCGAACGATACGATGAGCAGATAGTAGAGGATATCGTGTACGATATTATTGATGAGGTTGACTGGTGGATGCGGGATGGGGGCGTTACCGGAAAAGGAGTTACAAGCGGTGCTCTTCGGTCTGGCGTAGCAACACAAAATGGAGGCGTCCAAGGGTCTGAGATCAAGGAGTTAGTCCAGGATGATGAGTAGGTCATTTTGAAAGCCGATAAAGGATGATAGAGGCCTCATCCCGCTTTGAGAAGAGTATTGACAAGATGTACATATAATGAAGCCCGAGCAGTTTATACCCAAGCCAGAGTTTTTGCGTATCAAGATGCCCTGCAAAGAGAGCTTCTAGTGCAACACGGCTCAGGTATGAATAATTTATTCCTACTATGCCAGTGCCAAATATTCAAGTATTATCTCAAGAATAATGAATGGAAAATAGAGGTCAATATATATAACATAAAGTATTCTACTAGCAATTACGGTGCACATTGTCATTGACTCCATCTGAGTGAAGACACTACGCCAAGACTTCAAAAATGCCAACCAATCAGCCCGAGTCAATGCCAAGCTCTGATATCCAGGGGATCTGCTGATGACGCTGGTGACGTGTGGCTGAGGCAGCTCAGATATTGAGGCGTTCGACAAGCCTCCATGCCAGCTTTTTTCAACTTCTCATATTGTGTCTTTCTTCCCACAAGATACCCTATTATCCATCGAAAGAAAAGCAAAGATGTTGGAATACTTTACATACAAGAAAGTGAAGAAGCACCAGAATGAGAAAAGAGCTGCAGAGTCGAAAGTGCAAACGCCACCACCACTCCTCGACGAGGATGATGAGCACTTTCTCGCACGCATTATCTCAGCAGAAGGAACACCTCCCCCGTTACCGGAGAGACCTCACAGTTTAGGCCCAGTCGCTGGGGATGCAACAGAGAATAGTAGCCAAGTGATAGTCCATGACGGTCGTACTGCGGAGAAACTCAACGTTCCTCATCATGGCAAGAATAAAGACAAGGGAAAAGGGAAGGAAGAAGCGAAGCCAGGGAAAGAAGACAAGAAGATTAACCGACTATCTGGTCTGTATAGAAGCTTCACCAAGAGGGTAAGCTAAACCCTTTAGCTAATGGCAGAGCACCACTAACTTGTCTCAGGGCAAGAAGCCAGATTTGACACCGAATGAAAAAGTCGTTACACCCGGCGAAGCTGCATCCGAAGCTGACGACATCACGAAAGTTCTCGAAGATCTGAATCTCTCTGCTATAAACAACCGCGCATTCTCGATATCGGCTGCCTCTCAAGAGATTGTTAGCAAATTCACAGTTATCCTCAAGGATCTTGTGAATGGGGTGCCTACAGCATATGATGACCTGACGAATCTGATAGAGGATTCTGACGGCACACTTGCGAAGTCTTACGATAGCTTGCCGAGCTTCTTGCAGAAGTTAATCACGCAGCTACCTACAAAGTTGACTACCACTTTGGCACCAGAACTCCTGGCGGTGGCGACAGAGGCACAAGCTTATAGCGGGTTTGGAGGCGCAGACTTAGGCGCTGCAGCTGCCGCTGGGGGCTTAGGTGGAGCGGCGAAGAGTTTCTTGAAAGTTTCCACGTTAAAGGACTTGGTTACGAAGCCAGGTGCTGTGGTGACAATGTTGAAGTACATCATGAATGCGCTGAAGACGAGATGGCCAGCGTTCATGGGCACGAATGTGTTATTGAGCTTGGGCCTCTTTGGTGAGTTCTTTTCTTCCTATTAGGTAATAGTCATGCTAATGATTTTGCAGTGCTTCTTTTCGTGTTCTGGTATTGCCACAAACGTGGTCGTGAGGTTCGTTTGGAGAAAGAGAATCCTAAAACGGTGGATAGCAAAGGAAGGATTACCGAACTCGACGATGATCCTTTGCTTGAAGGAGCTGGTCCAACTCGAAAGCGCACTGAGCGTGACCGAGAACGTCGCCGTGAAGAACGAAGAGAGCGAAACGAAAGGGAAGAACGAAGGGAGCATAGAGATCATAGCGACCGGAGTGACAGAAGCGATGGAAGATCCCATCGAAGTGAGAGAAGCGATAGAAGGGAGCATAGTGATAGGAGCGAAAGGAGAGAACATAGGGACCACAGGGACCACAGGGACTACAGAGACCACAGAGACTACGGAGAGCGCAGAGGCCATGGAGATAGAGAAGAGAGAAGCGACCGCCTGAGCCCCTCGAGCCCCAACAGCAGAGAGCATCGTCATCATAGTGGTAGCTCAACGCCATCTCGCTCTCACACTGAGAGAAGAAGCTCAAGAAGGACAAGCTTGGATCATGATAGGAGGCCAAGAAGCTCAGAATATGCAGATAATGGCGAGAGACGAGATGATGACCGATATGAGAGCAGATACTGATTGATACCCCTCTTACGACACGATGGACGAAACACTGAGAACGAACAAGTATGGGCATATAGGTAATAAGAACCGACGCATACGATGTTGATTTTATAATAGTAATTGTATTACAAGCTGAATGAGACTTCTCCCTCTTTCCTCTTCCGAATTATCACCTGACTCCGTTGTTTACGGTGTATCCCAAACGACTTTGTGATCCCTTATTCTATTCATTCATTAGTCTAACGCCTCGGCTATTATTGGTGCAGCAAAAAAAAAA